GCGTTCCGAAACAGAATGAATCAGTGAATCACTATTATTACTAAAATGGCCTCCCGAATGTTGGCGAACCCGTCTTGACCCCAACATGTTTTTGCCGGGAAAACGAGACATTATGACAAATACGCAAGATGGAAAGAGATAGATAATAGATTGTCAATTCCACAGTCGTTTTTAAGGTAAATGACCTTTCGTATCGCTGCTAGTTGTCTTCGCCTTTGCCAGCCATGGGTCTTTGAGCTTTTAGTATTCTTCAGGTGATAAATCTATGCAACAAACAAGCGAAAAATTTACTTATAATAGACGACAAAAGGAATAATTTCCTTTGCGCGAAGTGATAAGAAATGGGACGGGGGAAGCGGAAAGGTGCGTATTTTTATAGAATAAGGGTGACAAACGAGCACAAAGTCCACCTGATGATAAGTGGATGCGGTGGCCTGTAGACATCTACATTTATCCTCGATTAAAAATCAAAATGCAGACGCGTTGTCACCCCTGAGGACTAAGATTTAATGCCTCGTTTCTAGTAAAAAAGGGTTTCCAGATCTCTACAGTCACCATACAAAACACAGCAGTATTAAGCTACTATTTTACGCTGATATTCTGTGAGAGCGTGGTCCTTCCCCGGTTGAGCGGACCCATTGGTGCTACAACCATAATATAGCTGTAGCGTGGCTCTACCACGTCCACGTTTTATCGAAATTCGTATTTCCTTCTCACTTGTACATTATGTTCGTCTATTATTATCAGAAAAGTCTATGTCGTAAACTACTTAATATACTTATAGTACTTCTTATTAGTTTATGGTGTCAACCAAAGAGAATATCACAATATGATTACGTAGTACTATTATTAATTTTGTGATATAATCACTACTAGGACAGCCATGTATACGACAATTACTATTAAAGTTCTTTAAAACGACTATAAATCAATAATACGCTATAAATCAATAGTACCCGGTTGACCGAGCTTTGCTCAGTATTTTTCGCTCGGTTTTTTTAATTCGTGTGTTTTGGAAATTATATTTAGATACAAATTACATACTGATGAAATACGAATAATATTTTTTGATCTTAGCGACATAATAGGAAAAACTGAACTGGTTATTAGAATAAAAAATTATGAGTGCAATTAGTTTAATTTTCGTGTTTTTAAAAAATACTAAAAAAAGGGTTCGAAAAAATAGATTTTCTCAAAAAAGAAAGGAACTTGAAAAAAAAAATTAAAAAAATTCGGTTGGTCGGTCTGGGTTCGAACCATGGTATTACGATTTTGTGACCGCCCAATATACCAATTAAGCTATTTGTAATCATTAATAAACTGTCAAAATTTACCTTCTTATTCTAACGATATTGTAGCAGTTTTTTATTGCCTAAAAACACGGACAAAAAGACATTTTCTAAAAATAAATCCTAGCTAGATCGATTTATTGCCCCCGAAACTCCCTGCACACAAAATTTTATGAAAATCGTTGGAGCCGTTTCCAAAATTCCGTATATATATAGTTCGTTGGATAGACTGCGTGCTATGTAAGAATATTATTTCGTAATAAGTCGCATTTTAGACTAAAATAAAATAAAGCAGAAAAAAGGCTTACTCTTTGTATATAATCGATGTGAACGTTATTTAACCTTAATATAAATTATAAATAAATTAAAGGAGTATTTAAAAGTTTATTGATTGTACATACAATAATCAACTATTTACATACACATATTATACAGGATGTTAGTGTAAACATCGTTATCCTTGAAACCAGTGGTTTGGTTTCACTTATAGTACGTAAATTAATGAAAAATAACAACATTTTTTAAAGTAAAATCTCAATTTTTCCCTAATTCCTCCTTTTTTTGCCTGTACTAAGCCAGGATGAAAGTATGAAGGAAAAGTTACATCACAGGTTATGTGTACCTATTGTGTTTTTATTAGAATGTTGTGTAGGTAACTAGCGCAGGCGGTAATCTTTACAGTGATTACGTAAAGTAATTAGTATGTCACTAGGGCGCATAGGGTATCCATGAATTTACGGACGGTGTCGGACAGAAACTTTTTAAATTTTATGAAAGAAAATAGCGTTTTTTTAATTCATTGAATTTGCGTTCTATAAGTGAAACCAAACCACTGGTTTCAAGGATAACGGTGCTTACACTAACAGCCTGTATACACTTTTGTATCTATATTTCATTTACACTTAAAAACATTAGTTAGGCTACTTTTGTAGCAGACAACCGTGTCTTTCGATCACTTATAAATATACAGAATAAACTAACTAAGTAATAACTAACACTAAATTAGGTCACGCACGATGAATAGCATGCTGCTAGGTCAAATTTGCGTCACATATTGTGCCGCTCGTAATTAATAGCGCTTACGCGCCATAACGTCATGCTATGCGTTATGGAAAAATAGCGCGCTATAATATGACGGTATGCGCTATATTGACCACCAATACCTATAACCCAATATTAACCGCCATTAGTTACTATACTCTTTGTAGGACAGTCACTATAATCCACATAGTACTTTTTAACTTTTTATATAGGTACCTAAAACTATACTCCAGTATATACACAAAAAACTATTCTATACTCTTTGCACTAGTTACCACGTTTAGCAAGGAGGTTCTCTCTATATATTTATAACCTCCATGGTTTAGCAAGGAGGTTATAATATATATTTATAACCGCCTTGACGTTTAGTGTCAACCATGGAAGTTAGAGAGGTGAAATTCACGCAACTCGAGTTAAAACTCTAGTTACACAACTCGAGTTAGCAGGACGTAACAGAATAAATAAATTGCTTCATATTAATTTTTTATAAATTTGTTTTTCTATCTTTCTCTATGTTGAGTTGGGAAAACTATTATTATTTAACTAAGTAGGTAGGATTGAAATAAAAAAGCTATAATTAGTATGTATCATTTACTTATTTATTTTTAGTCTTGGTTATAGTAATCACCTATACAACAGCAAAACTAGCTATATAGCAGTATTCACATAACAATATCAGTCTAGCCTTAAGATGTAGGTACATAAGCTATTAATAGTTTAATGATCACTGTCAAAATATTCTTAGATACGATTCGTTACCTATTTTTTATAACGAACGAGCACACAGTCCACCTGATGGTAAGTGGATGCTGTGGCTCATAGACATCCACATTTATCCTGAACTAAGGACCAAATTGCAAATGAGTTGTCACCCCTGAGGACTAAGATGGAATGCCTCGATTCCAGTAAAAAAGGTCTCCGGTTCTGTACACTCACCATATGAAACATAGCAGGAGCATTAAGATATGGGACTGCTGAGTTAAAAAGTATTTCAATCAAGTATTTTCCGAATAGATAAAAGAAAGATAATACTCAAAAATTAAAAAGAAGGCAAGAGACCTGATGGTATGACATTGGTCCCTCGGTAGAGAGGGGTAGGATGCTACTTGCAGAGGCACTTTGGCAGCCTTACATCTCAGGGGTTCTTCGTTTAAACAGGGATAACATCAGAGGTAGCTAATTTAAATAAGCAGCGCAAATATATGTCTCTGAGAAACGACTACATATTTGTGTCACTCGCTGTGGCCGTGAAAGGAAAAGGGGAGATCTCCCGCCGGGCGAGGTGTTCTGCTCGGGGAGCGGCCGACACTCCGTGTGATAGTTCGGAGATGTTCTATATATACTGTTTCTGATTCGGAATGTTGATAGCGTGATTTAAGCTTCGGTGTATTTCGCTTGTGGCGCGACGACAGCGCCGCTACATCACCCCCCTGCTCAGACCGGAGGTCGATAGTGCAGCCTCGTTGCCGACGAATGTGCAAGTGCCAGGAGATTGCCTTGTAGTCTGCGGTGAGTCGAGAAGAAGGCAAGTAATCTGCGAGAGTGCCGTGAAGCAGAGGCGAGCAGTAAGGCTCAGAGCCGTGCCGAACACTGTATAGCGCAGAGAGTAGCTTGAAGGAACAGGAAGCATTATTATTCCAGTGCTGCGATGAACCTTGTGAAGCTAGATGGCTTGCAGGATATGAAGACTGCAGACGATATCTGGTCGGGAGCGAATGGGTATTCTATGACGATGATGAAGCTTGAAGTTTCCGAAGGTTGTTTAGTTGCGTGTTCAGATAACGTCGGGGTCACCACTGTGGCCGGAGTAGGAAAAGGGGAGATCTCCCACCAGGCAAGATGTTGTGCCCGGGGAGCGGCCGACACTCCGTGTGATAGTTCGGAGATGTTCTATATATACTGTTTCTGATTCGGAATGTTGATAGCGTGATTTAAGCTTCAGTGTATTTCGCTTGTAGTGCGACGACAGCGCCGCTACACTCGCTATAGAGACTATCGGTCCGTGGGATTCACGTGCGGTAAAGTTTCTAAAGGAAATCTATCTGGGACTGGTCGTTGCTGCTGGTGATAAGAGGGTTAGTTCTTTTCTCGCTCGGAAGCTAAGTACAGCCATTCAGCGAGAAAACGCAGGCAGCGTTTTAGACACGATACCACGGGAAGTAGGATTATATGATAATTTAAGTTATTACTTTTATTTTATTTATTTTAGTTTTTTTTAAATATTGTATTACATATGTAAACGTTATGGAAACATTAAATATGAGAAAACGAAATATTATTTCTTGTAAGTTAGCACATCTATAAATAAGATTAGTATTTTCAGCAAAAAAATAACAGTCTAAAAACGACTATCCATACACCGTATACACACTATGTATACACCGAACGAATCGGGCTCTTACTCTTTCGCTCGCTCGTTTAATTCGTTAATGTACAGCCAACCCAAACTCGATTTAGACAGATCCAACTCGAGTTTAACTCGAGTTGATCTACGTTAGTACTCTTATTAGTTTGTGAGTTGACCCGTTGGCCATTGGCCCATCCAGGCCCATCGCTACGCTAACCATAACCAATAACCAAACCAACTTTGAATCTTTGAATCTCTCAATCAATCTCAATTCAAAACAAAACAAACAAACTTATTTTTATATTTATGTACCTATTGAAATTATGAAAATAGAAATGAGAATCCAACTTATTTTATTAATTGTTTCTTCTATTAGTGAATGTAAGTTGTATCTTTTTATATCAAACAATAATTTTTTACAGATTTTAATATTAGGGTGTGGTTCAGTCGTAAGCTTTGTAAGTTCTAACGTATATTAATTTAAGCACTTCATTAGGACGAAATTTACAATTATTGTATCACAATATTTATCACCCTTTTATATTCAAGATTTTTAGGTTAATTCATAAGAGTTTTAATTTTGTACCATTCATACATTTCTTTAAAGATTTATGTTTCAATCTTTTGAATTCATAGCAGGTTTGGCAATATGGTGTTACCAATGTACAGCAGCCACTCCTGGTTGCAATGAACCCTTTAACTGGCGAGGTATTGGTTATTTAGGAAGCCCTTGCGTCGATAGTGAAGATGTCTGTGTAAAATTGATTGAGAGAAAAGGAGGTAAGTGCTTTCTTAAGTATCATTGATTTGGATAGAGAAGAATATACTCTTATTTTTGTTTATATATCACAGGGATTTTTTTATATGAGTTTTGTTTAATACATAATGTAAAATACTGTATTTAAGCAATAAATAACCAGGAACACAAACATTAATAGAAATATGTGCAAAACAATATTGGAAATATGTGCAGTAGCTACTTTTCATCAGTAGTAAAGGGGATTTGGGAGAGGAGTAGAGGAACCTATACTGTAAAGGGGCAAAATTTTTTTTTAGGTCTAAAGCATAATGGAAAATGTTCTGAACATGTCTTTTAAAGTTACATATTCAGAAAGGTATAAATATACCGGCAAAAAATATCTTATTAATTTTTGTAAAAATATTACTTGATTATTTTCTTTAGTTTTAAATCAGGGTTCGAAAACATTATTAAAAATAGCATTATTAAAACATTTGGAATGGTTCCTTTTATACCATTTTGTTCAGAACAAAACGAAATGAGAATGTAATGTGAGAACCTAAAAAACGGTTTATTCCGCAGGAAGCTAAAGGGATGGAAGACAAATTGGTAGTAAGGTATAATAGTATTTATGATTACTACAAACCATGATATTTTTTTGATATTTTTAATAAAGATACAAGACGATTATTTTGCAGCACAATATTTTGATTATGTAATATTTACTTTATTTCCATATCCTCATCAGCGATATGTCCATATTTGTTTCTATGTATTTATTTCAATATTTCTACATACATGTAAGTGCGTATGCGTGGTTAAACAAATTGTAATTCTGAGGAAATAAGTTCTTTTCCGTAATGTTCATACCTAAAATAGGAAAAAATGGTTTAAAATGGTTAAAAACATTTTATTGAAGAAGAATGATTTAAAATTTCGTTCTCTTTATAAATGTTTTTATTGTGATTCCATTCATACATAAACAAAACAAATAAGTTTGTAGGTATTTAAGGCGAAACTGTTTCGAAAAATAAACCGTTATCTGAGCCCTGTTTTAAATTGTGACTTGCTTTTGGCAACGTTTTGAACGGCAGCTTCGGGAAGGGACAACCTAGAAGAAAGTTTATCGACCAAATTGGCGATATTTTGAAAATGGGCCACATTAGAAGTACCCTTAACCGACAAGCATGTATGCGTAGATATATGGATGTAAAGGAGGTGAAAGAGGTATGTCGGGATTGTGCCAAATGGAAGTCCATAGTCTGCCTACCCCTCTGGGTGACAGGCATGAGTGTTTATGTATGTATGTAAATCCTAATTTTGCAACTTTCAGTTGTTAAAACATCTGCTTTAGAAAGCTACACTCACTATATAAAAGAAAACAGAATTAAGCTGCTATTTTATGGGTGGTATAGATAGAAACAATCTGCTTGCTCTTTCCAGAGTTAAGATAGAAGTTAGAGTGACAAGCATACATAGTCCACCTGATGGTAAGGAGGCAGATATGACAGATATTAACATCTATCTTGGATTAGGAATTAAAATACCTTGTGAGGACTAATATTTTTACTACTATACTGCTATTTTATTCTGCCATTCTATGTTAGCATAGTCCTTCCTTGGTCATTCAAGCTCATTTCAGCTGCAGCCATAATGCACTTACATTTTGCTTCTCTGTTATGCAGATTTTCCTTTTTTTTGTAATCACTATTGTATACATAATAAATTAGCAGTTAAATTGCAATTAAAAATTTTACTTATAAAACGTCTATACATTAATCACACTGCTTGCATATATTAAAATTAGGAACTTCCAAGAAAACTACCATGATTTTATGTATAAATTAGTTATACCTATTTAAAGTAACATATTCATCAAAATTTTTATAGCTCAAGAAATTATAACAAGAGATTGTTTAAGCAATTTTAGACCATTCCGTACTGATATACCTGCTGATACTTATGAGGGCTGTAGACCAGCTGCCAAAGATGTAAACCTGGCCAATTATGTGAACAATTCTATAAAAGAACTTGATGTAAAAAGGTATATTACATTTTAATTTATTTGTGGTCAATATATTTGCCTAATAATTTATTTGTCCTATGTTTGAACAGTCAGGCCAGCTAGATCTAATATTTGTTAAAATTTCAGAATAGATATTTTACCATTAATTCTTTGTCTTTGGCTAACACTGAACTTTCCTAAAATCTTATTGATAACACTTCAAATGAGATTGGGCTGAGAAATAGTGAGACAAATCTGTGTACAAAAAGTAAAAATTACAGCCTGCGCACAAGCCTCCTCACATTTCTGAGAGGGCATTAGAGCAAGTAAATGCCCATCATGCTGCCCCAATGCGTGTTGGCGGACTTCACATGTCTTCAAATTATATATTTTTGTCTTATTTCTCAGACAGATGTTTTCCTTCACCGCTGCACATGTGATTAATCAGCACTTAAAATTGCAATTAACAACGTCTGCCAGCTGGGATCATACACGGGTTGCTGATTTAACATGTGCTCTGTGGTGGAGGAAAATATTGTGAGGAAACTTGCATGTCTCAGAAATAAGAGAAAAAAATATTTCAAAAACATGTGAAGTTCGTCAACATACATTGGGGCTGCGAGGTGGACAATTCCTTGCCCTAAAACCCTCTCAGAAAAGACAGGAGGCCTGTGAAGGAAGCCCAGTAGCGGGACATGTATAGACTTTAACTTTACTTTTCAATTTTAACTTCATGTTATGTAAACATTTCCCTGTAGTGGCGGCCTAAGAAAATCCACTGTCATGTCTTGTATCATCAGAGGCGAGAAAGGGAAACTAAAACATGAGGTTGGTAACAGCATATTTCTGATAACAAATCTATGGGGGGGCCTATGTTCAGCTGTGGCTTTGTGGACAGACTCTGAATGAATGAACGAAAGTTCAGCAAATGTTTTTAAATTATTTTTATCTTAAATTCCGTAAAATATATTGCAATTGATAACAATCATTTATCTGTTATTTTCTAGGGAATGGTATGACGAGACTATATGGTGCATGTGCTTTCTTGACAATAGATGTAACAGTGCATCAGCCGTTTCGATTTCGTTTGTCGGTCTAGCATTGTCAATTGTATTATTACTCACAAAAATGTTTCCTTGATAGCCGGTCATGTGCTGCAAATTGTACTGAGACTGACAATAGGTATATAAAAGTCAAATGTACAAAACGGCCATTCATGTATGACCAAATAAGTAGACTTAAACCGAAATTGTCAAGTTTTGTTTGTTTGTTCTAAGCCTAGTAAAGTTAAGCAATATTAAAACTTTTTATTAGGATATAACTTGTAAAAAAATGAATACTATAAATATTTGTTATATAATAATGCTTTTACACACTGACTAAGGTGATTTTCATCTGATTGAATGTGCTGTCACTACTTTTTCATTGGCACTTGAATTTTAAATTATAATTTTTTCATAAATAATCGCACAAATGAAAATGAAAAATAAAACATGACGCGATACCGAATTGCACACGTAGAGTTTTGTTGTCATTCAGAATCGCTGATATATATTAGTATATAAAATTTATTTTCCGAGACTCATTTATACCGAAGGGTACCTGATACCAACTATATTAATTCAAACGTAACAGTTTTTTGGTCTGTACTTGTAGATTTTAAATTTAAACTCAAATTGCTACCCAATGTTTAAAAAATTTTTTACTTAGTGGAATTTCGGTATTTATGTGTGTAACTTTTTATGTAGAGTATAAGTAGTTTCCAAGGCGGTAAAATTACCTTTTACACAGAAAAATTGCTTTTATTCTGATATTTACATTTTGTAAATTATTTGTATTATTAGGTATTCTTATAGTTATGTACTTTAAGTAAATACTTTTTACCTCAGGTCAAGTAGTAATGTCAGTTTGAATTTTTTGGATAGCTATCTTTAACAAGGAAGATTTTTAAGGAATAACAACTGGTGGCACTTTTAAATCTACTTGTATCACCATAGATGGTACACTAATATACCAGATATGTATCACATTTGACAGTAAGTAGTAACTGTGGTTAAGTTAAAGGTGGGTAAAGGTATTGTAGCTATTGCAGTCTGATACTTTAAATATCATCTTAATTAGATGGCTAAGCTTGCTTTTAAAAGTGGCATAGAGTCATCCTAGCATGAATGTCGAATTACAATGATATGTATAATATTTATTTAACTTTTTGGCTAACCAAAAGCCAGCCTTTTGATATGTCTGGACTAATAGCCACTATGACATTTAAATTTAGTTCCCTTTTCTATCACTATTGCATTAACATTTATTTAATAGGATGATGTCAACAGTTGATGTAATGTTATCATTTAGATCTATTTGAAAACTTTGACAATAGAAAACACGAATTTGCTCCAATGTTATTTAATTTTATACATTATTTCTCAACTTCACCTAAAATCGTGATATAATTTATTTAACCCAAGACCTAAATATTTCCAATCCTTTTATAACATTATATAACATAATGTTGGACATTTGGCTAAGCTTTTATACGGCATTTGAATGCCAATTAACTAAATAAATAGTCATCCAATTTACAGGCTGAATAAACCACCGGACTTCGAAATACCTACAGTTAGCCATGCATTTGCTATTAGGTTATTGTAATTGTCATAATTGCTCATAATTTGAATATGTTATAATACAAATATTGTTGATAAGTTGTTATACAACTAAGTACTACCCGTGCGGTTAAAGATGAGGATTGAAAATGGCGTAGCTTTTTTTCACCTTTCGCTCGCACACTGCTGTTATATATACTCACAACCCCCGGTAAAGACTAGGGATGGGCCGAATATTCGTTTCATATTCGGTATTCGGCATATTCGGCATCTTTACCGAATATTCGTATACGGCCGAATATTCGGCTAAATCACCGAACATTCGTTGAAGTGCTACTCAAGTTGTCCACTGTATTGAAATGTACGAATCGAGTAATGCCTTGTTTTCATTATTTTACTATTGAAAGTATATTGTAGTTATGGGGTAAATCTACTTGTATAGTGTTATATTTTTAGGCATTGTAGATTTATTTCCAATTATAGCAAATATAACGCTTGATAAAATGTTTTTGGATTCAAACAAAGAAACATCACATTACATTGGTATCTACATTTCACATTACTTTGGTCGTCAGTCTCTCTAAAATAATTCCAAATAGTAGATCTCCTGCCACTCATTATTATCATATAATTATCAATTTTCTCTAAGAATAACACAACGAAATAGTTTTTTCTCACAAAAAAAGTCAAAACATAAGCACGTGCCGGCTATTTGCACAGTACTAGTTGATGCAATAATATGTCAGGTGTGGCTGGGAAGCGAGGGGCAGGATGCGGTGCTAATCCCGCGCGCTTTGTGGTAACAAATTTTACATACATAAATTGGTTAGGTACTGAGATGATCCTGCCGAATAATGTTCGGCCGAATATTCGGTTCGGTAAAATCCGTATTCGGCCCATCTCTAGTAAAGACTGCAAAAAAATACTTTACGATATTATCTATCATATTCTTATATACATGAGATATCATTGAAATCAATAATAACAAAATGCTTTAAACTACAAAAATCCGTCGGGTTTCGCTAATTTGTGAGCTACGACACGCTTAGAAAGTTTCCTTCATAAATAAGTATTGTTGATTTTGTTTGTTATTATTTTTGATTAAAAATATTAACATGTTATTGAGACATGAGTAACCATATTTACAATTTTCGTTTGTATGTCTGAGATAATCTTGGGAATGGCTGAACCGATTGTAATAAAACTTCACGAGCAAATAAAGAGCCAGGAGTGATCTGGACTAAATTTTATCCCAAACATTTAAGACATTTTATTAAAATATCAATATTGATGAGATAAAATTAATGCTCTTTAATGGTTATCTTAAGTCTAAATATCGCCACACCTCAACCAAGTGAAGCCAGAGCGGGTCGCGAAATGTAATTTTAAAATTAATGTACCTACTTGGGTAGGTGTACAATTATTTTCAAATAATTTCTCATAAAAAGAAAATTTCTAATTAACCCAATACTACAACGTTATAACGATATACCGCTATTAGCGGGTTCTTGTTGTTGGTACTGTGTTGACGGTATGGGCTCGATGAGTCGCCATTTCTAATCCTATTCTTTATCCGTACGGACTATCAATTATGGTGATGAAAATAACAAATTTTTTATATGAGAGGGGAATTGCAGATGTGTTGTGCCGCCTTTGAATTTTTGGTCCTAATATTGGTTAAATAATGTTTATTACATTAACCAGACATGCCACATTCATTACATTGTATATGATTTATACTACAATAATATAATATAAGCTCTGAACGTAAAATTGCACAACATTTTGCAATTAAAATACACGCAATTAAATTTAGTATTGTGATATTTGTAGATTATTACATTGATTTTAACCTATAAGTGCCTCATCTTAAAAATGTATTTTTAATATTATTCTTTTATTGTAAAAGAATATAAAAAGAAATAGGTGCTTTAAGCTTATTTCAAATAATTATAATATATATTCTAGAAATAGATGTTCATTTGTTTATTTTATAATTTTAACTTGTTCTTGAATATATAATATTATTGTTTATATATTAAATGAGTATTTTATAAGATTTCATTATTCCATTATATTTCTATTTATGTATTACTTATGTAGTTAATATTGCGGAATGATAATTATTGACTAGTGGCTTCTAATGTCACAACACAAAATCACACTATCTCACTACCAGCGTCAGACTGACTGGGAGAAAATTATTAAATAATTAAGTCCGTCCTTTGTACTTTCCACCCTTTGATATAAGTTATACAATAAGGTATAAATAAGTAAGTTTCGTCAATATTAAAGTTGTTCTATACTTTATACCGTCCATTGTTTATTACATTTTTTATAATATGTACATATTATATAGATTTTTCGTAACAATTTTGTATTAATTCGTCTGAATATAAGATGATATGTAAGAATAATAAATTTATCAAAAAATAAACGTACTGTGTATTTTATATTTTCGCACTATTTCCTTTCTTTACACTTTGAGGCTTGTTTCATTTTATTTTTGTTGAATACCGTTACCGTTCCAGCCTATCAAAAGACCACTGCTGGACATAGGCCTTCCCATAGATAGCCTCAAAGGTGAGATATATGTCATAGTTGCCACACTTGGCCAACGGACTGGCAACCACAGTTTTTTTAGTTTTCAGTTGAAATCAGGAATATGCTGCTGCCCATCTCCTGGTTAGTTTCCCTCTGTCGCCTTTTAAAACACCCACGGGACGATATCAGCCTGTAAATATTTTTACACCGCCATTACGCGGTCAATTATAAGACACGGGACGATAATATCATCCCGCGAATATTTTTACACCGCCACAACGCGGTCAATTATAAGACACGGGACGATAATATCCCGCGAATATTTTTACACCGCCACTACGCGGTCAATTATAAGACACGGGACGATAATATCATCCCGCGAATATTTTTACACCGCCACTACGCGGTCAATTATAAGACACGGGACGATAATATCATCCCGCGAATATTTTTACACCGCCACTACGCGGTCAATTATAAGACACGGGACGATAATATCATCCCGCGAATATTTTTACACCGCCACTACTCGGTCAATTATAAGAAACGGGACGATAATATCATCCCGCGAATATTTTTACACCGCCACTACGCGGTCAATTATAAGACACGGGACGATAATATCATCCCGCGAATATTTTTACACCGCCACTACGCGGTCAATTATAAGACACGGGACGATAATATCATCCCGCGAATATTTTTATACCGCCACTACGCGGTCAATTATAAGACACGGGACGATAATATCATCCCGCGAATATTTTTACACCGCCACTACGCGGTCAATTATAAGACACGGGACGATAATATCATCCCGCGAATATTTTTACACCGCCACTACGCGGTCAATTATAAGACACGGGACGATAATATCATCCCGCGAATATTTTTACACCGCCACTACGCGGTCAATTATAAGACACGGGACGATAATATCATCCCGCGAATATTTTTACACCGCTACTACGCGGTCAATTATAAGACACGGGA